TCAGGAAGAAGGCTGACAAAGGTATTCTGAAAATGAGAGGACAGTGGGGATGAAGTCAAGTGAACAGTAAAGAATACCAAACAGGCAGGAAGAACACAGGGCCAAAGTGAATATGGTAAACTGCTTACAAAATGCGCCTTCAGGCAAAGTGAGAGGAGAAGCCACTGATGTTCAGGGTTTTTTTTTTTTTAAAAAAAAGCAATAAAAATAATCACACTTTAAAAGGCAGGTACTTTACAGATAACAAGTGTACATTTAAGTCAAGCCTATGATCAGGAGAAATTTTTGCCAAGATTAAAAAATAAAAAGAAAGAAAAAAATAAACTGCTATAATGGTTGGGTGGCCAGGCCTCATTCAGCTCACCCAAGACTCTTTGTGACGTACCCACAGCACAGCTGTGTTAGTTAGGCACAGTAGTGCACGCCTGTTATCCCAGAGGCTCAAGATGCTGAATCAGGAGGATCGCAGGCTCAAAGCCAGACTCGGCAACTTAGTGTGGCCATAAGCAACCTAGTGAGACCCTGTCTCAAGATTCAAAAAAATAAGTAAAACGTGCTGGTAGATGTGGTCCTTGGATTCAATCCCTGGTACAAAAAAAAAAAAAAAAAGCAGAGTTGAGCTAAAATACTAATGGGACTATGGGATATAGCATTTAACTCTCTCATTCTTAAAAGAATTTGGGGGAAAACATTTATGAATGTCGTCTATTTTCCACATTTCTGTAGTCTCTGGCCATAAGAAGCCACCTACCTCTCTCTCTGACCCTGGACTGGTTCCCTTAAAGACAGCAGCAGAGAGAGGCAGATCGTTTGTAAGGAGGAACTATTGGGATATCCATCCCATCAGCCAGACTAGGGTTTGGGGTCTGTCTGATGGACCTAAAATCAGACCCTGAGGTCACCTCCTTGTGGTATTAGCTTAAGGAAGTTCCGTTCACCAGGGCTGTTTCCTCGGGAGTAAAAAGGAATCCCGTAATAGCAATTTTGTAAGTTATTAAGATTGCATGAAATGATGCATGTGACAGGGGAGGGGACCCTACCACCCACAGACAATGTGTATTAGTGTTCCCCTTCCCTGCCCCATTCAAATTCCAGTCTCAACTTGATCATTCATCAACAGTGACCCAGGGCAATTCATTCAATCCCTCCGGCCTCAGTTTCCACTGCTATTAAATTAGCAAGCAGAATTCAAGGACCCCAAGGCCTCTTCCAGTTGTAATCTCCCATCCAGTTAGTGTCACTGTCTAGGAGGGAAGTGTGTTTCCAGCCTCTAATTTTAGATATTTTGGTGCTCCCTCTTACAACCCTAAGTCCCTTTTGAAATCCCCAGGGTCAGCCCCTTTTAGCTTCTGCCCATCAGGGTCTATGATGCTGGCTTTATTGTTACCATTTGTACGATTGGTTGAAAGTTGTCACAGATCAAGAACTGTTTTAAGAATGGTGCAATCTTTAGCACAGAGTATATCCTCACAACAACCTTGGGGCACATTTTCTTACTACAATGCCCATTTTACAGATTAGAACATCAAAGCTCAGGAGTTCAAACAACTTACCAAAGTTAATGAATTCAAGGCTGGACTTTCCCAACTGCTCATAACCCCAACACTCTATTCTACGTTCCTGTCCTTTGTCTGGGTAGCTGGCTTGAGTTCCATCTTCTTATGGCCCTGAGCTGTGTGTGCTAGTTTGTATCACAAAGTACCTTATATTAATAATTTTACATGTTATTCCTGCCAGGTATGACAGGGAGCTCATGGCAGGATTCTCAGGTCTTACAGCTGGAAGGTCAAGAAAGCATCAAGATGGGCAGGACCTAAATACATCTTTCAAACCTATGCACTCTTAGCACATTACCAAATAGCTATGCAACTTCTGCATGAAGCTTCCAGGAGCTACATCAGTTCTTTTAATTCAAACTCAGTCAGAATATCACAGAATAATAAAAGAAGAGGACTCACATTTTAGAGGTAAGAGCTCAGGGTTTACTGCCTGAGTGACCCTGGATAGAATCCTTAGCTTCTCTGCACTTCTTATCTATTAAATGACCTTGAGTAAGTTAACCTTGCTGAACTCGGGCTCCTCATCCATTAAAATGGGACTGACATTAGCAACTTAGAGGAATGTTATAGGTGAAGAAGGAGTGCCTGGCCTGTAATAGAAACATTTATCCAGTGGGAAAGTAGGGGAGCTTGGGTTATGACCAGGTTGTTTTCAATGATCAGAGTCATCTAGATGGTAGAAAGATGGAAATCAATCAGAAGTGTAAGTGCCTGCCTGATCTGTGAGACCTCTGCTGCTGAGAGCTGAATGTACCATTGTGGTAAGGCCCTAGGATGATCTGACCTGACTCTGCTCTTCCAGGCTACCTGGCAGCTCTTGTTGGCAGCACCCCTTCCTAGGGAGAGGTTCCTGATTGGGCCAAGTGGCAGAGTGTAATCACACACCATTTCTCACCCTCTGAGCACCATGAGGTTGCCCTGGTAACAGTGAGCTATTCTCAGCCTTCTCGATGGGATCCCAACTTCTCTACCCATATCCCATGGGCTCCCTTTGGTTTCTCATTCTGCACCCCATGCTGAAGTCTCTTCTCCCTGCCTCACAAGATCAGAGGAGACGTAAGAAAAGGAGGAACTGACTGTGCAGCTGGCCTTTAGCATTTTATTTCCTTATCATTTTATTTCCTTAGTTACAGCACATTTCCATTTATGGAGTACTTTTTGCCTTATAAAATCTCCCAGTGTTTACTTCTAATCTACTAAATAATTCCTCTGACCTCTTCTTGTTTTTATCCTTTAAATATCTGTTGATGGTTCACTCACCACATTCTCCATTCAGTTATTAATGGCCCACAAAAACTCACTAGCAGCAATCATTTACTGATTAATCTGCACAACAATCCAGAAAGACAGGTAGTATTAATCCTTAGTTCTGCAGAGGGAAACCAAGGGGAAAAGAGGTGCATTCAGTTGCCCAAGGTCAGTGTCTAAACAAGATTATAACCAGGATCTGACCTGTGTCTTGTCTCCTGTTTCTGTGAACACTCCACAATGCAGCTCCCTTCCTCCAGAAAAAGAACTGTCCACTAAGCTCCTGAGTATCTGTGTTGAGATTCAGATGTCACAGAATAGCTTAAAATGCCCAAAATTCACCCCCAAATAATTTTAACTATGAAGAGTTCACAAACTTGGCTAAAATAAAGAGGCGATTGTCCTTGAAAGCAAATTTAACAGAGGCAAAAAAAAAAAAGTGAAAAGATAGAAATTAGAGACCCAAGCCTGCTACAATGGTATTGAGAAAGTCATTTAACTTCTCTAAATTTCTGCCCCACCTAAAAAAGGAGGTGATTATGCCAGATGGTATTTAAAATGTTACTGTTTTAAATAAGATTGAGCATAAAAGAGCACAAAATATAAAAGCCCCCAACATCCAGCACTGCTAAGATCCTGGTAAAACCGTTACATTCGTTTTACTGCAGGGAAACAGCCATGGTGCTGTTGGAAAGCAAAATGCCATAAGCAGCAAGAACCACAGGAATTTCACATCCTTTGACCTAGAAATTTAACTCAGACATAATGTTTTATCCTAAGAAATAAGTCAATGGAAGCAAAAAGACATACTCATGGAAATGCACACTTCAATGCCAGTTACCAGAGGAAAAACTGATATCAAAGTAAATGTTCATTTTTGTAGAAAAGTCATACAAAGTTAAGAAACAGCAAACAAGATGAACGTCACATTTCTATTAAAAAGGATAAATAAGAAAATTACATAAAACCATTTAAAATCTTACCAACACTATTAAATGAAAACAGCCAAAAGTAAGGTGTATGTATTCTGACTCAACTGCTTATAAGTTGGATTGATCTGTAACATCACATTTAAAACCAAAATCGTTATGTTATTAATTAGGCTTGTTTATTTTTTTAAATATTTTAACCATGTTTAAAGAATAGTATTTCTCTTTAATACATACATTTTATCATTTAACCAATCATTTAAAAATTTCTCAAACCTTACTCTAGTTTGATGGGAAACATTTTAGTGTTTTTGCCTGAATCTCCTTAATACTTTTTTGCCTGACATATTATTCATGACATTAATCTTCTGCTCTTCATGTTATAATTCCATAGTGTCTTTAGAGTTTCTAAGCTCTCAGAATGCTATACTTCTTTACTTCTTTCTCCCACCTAAGACAATTCTTATAAATATCCCCCCCCCTTTTTTTTTTCTCTTTTTAATGGATCAGGGATTGGATCCAGGCTCTGATGCATGCTAAGCACATGCTCTATCACTGAGCAACACCCCAGCTCCAGATCCATCTTCTAATAAAGATATGAATAATCCCCAGACTGCTTTGCAATACTACTTGCAAACTACCTGACTTAGGACCCAATAATTTTTCAGAACCCACAACCTGTGGGTACCTTTCCACAGTTCCAGGGTAGTTTCGTATTTTAGATTTGTTGAGTTTTACAGCAGGATGTGATTTTTTTCAGGGATCGTCGGCACCCTCGAGAACACTTAAAAAAAGCTGCTCCTAAACAGCACTGTGCTAGAGCAACTTCACTTCATATAAGGACTGTTACATCCTCTTCCATTTCTTAGAAATGTTCTCTCACTACTAGGTCATTTGTACATCTTTGATCCTAATATCTGGGAAAGATTGCAGAGCCAGTGAATTAAAAATATGATTCTAGGTCTCCTGTGTGCCAACGCATACCCTCATTAAAGCAGAATGAGTGAGAGGAGATCGGTTTCAAAGCTTCCCATCCCTCTGCCCCAGAGCCGCCGAGGCCAGGCACTGAAAGGATGCACAGTAAAATTAAATATCTAAAAATTCATCTTTAATTAACAGAATTGGATTAAAGCTAGACATCACCGCATATCATACGAGAAATGGCTGAGCTGGCTTCCAAGTGCTCTAATTCAATTAGGACGCAGTGAGTGACACTCGGACGGGAAAGGTTAATTGGGGCCGCCAGAACGCAATCATTCCTTACCTAACCAGTCATTAAACTTCTTAACCTCTGAGGGCAGTCCCAGCTCGGTGAAATCGCCTGTGTGGAGAAGGATGTCCCCATAAGGCATCTGGATACCATCTGTTCTGGAGTGTGTGTCTGAGATGCAGACAAACCGCGTGTGGCCCGCTGGTTTTGGAGTGTCATATGGGATGGGGTCGACCCTAAAGTAGACATAACAGATCCCATAACAGTTAAACATATTAGAACCCTGGCAATTGTCATCGCACATACATATCGACTGTTACGTGAACACACCCAAACCAACCAATGCAGAGGCAAAAGGACCCACAGTAACAGGGGACATCTGGGAGCATGAAGGAGATAGCATCCCTCATCCACAACCCCACTGGACAAATTCAAAAAAGTCTTACTTACCTGGTAGGAAAATTAAAAGGGAAGAATATCTTACCTGGAGAATCAGAAATATAACCCAGGAAATTGATAGAGTGATTAATAGTGAAGTTTGGGGATATTGAACCCCAACTGAGGAAGCAAAATTATGCTATTTCTCTCTCATCATGCTTCAATTGATCCTACTACTCATTAGGAGATGGATAACTAATTTATTCCTTCTTAAACATGCATAACTTAAGCAATGAACTAATTTACAGAGAGCCGTCTGCACAGGCTCTGCCAACTGAGATGCGGAGAGACAGCACTTACATTTAATTTCCTTTCCACAACCATTCAACACCTGTATTCTTTCTGTTTTTGCTAAGAGATTCACAAATCAAATTGTGGAGAGGGAAATTGATGCCAAATAACAAGGCTTAAAAGAAAAAAAAAACTGGATGTTAAAAGAACTTTGTCAAGTTCATCTTTATACCATGAATTTATCTGCTGTCCCAGTTACACCTCAGGTTACAAGGAATGCTCAGGTGCCTTGGACGAAAGATTCTATTTCCTAATCAATGGAAGTGTAACTGATGTGATTCTGCAAGCTGTATACGGGGTAAAATGGGAGTTCACAACCCACTTGAATCAAAATGTGAAATATGATATATCAAGAACTATGTAATGTTTTGAACAACCAACAATAAAAAAAAGAAAAAAGAAAAAAAAATAAAGTACGCCTTTTAATGGGTATGTATGTGTCTACATATACATTAATATATGTATGGTTTTAGAGACCTAAGCACTGTGAAATTACACCAGGGCATAAGAATCAAAAGGCAAAGTGATCAACCCGAAGCCAAGAAAATGAAACAGAACATTCTCATTTAATTGAGTGTAACAAAGTGTACTAAATAAACTTGGTAAAGAAATGCAAATGTGATTCTTGGAGCATACAGTTTTAATTATTTAAGAGGTTGGTAGCGGAGTTAAGGATGTTTTCACTATATTAACTCTCCACTGACAGCTTCCTTTAATTTCTCCGTAGGAATGTCTGCTTACTTTTGGATTATGGGCGAAAAGCAGCAGTTATAAATGCAAAGAGAAGGTCACAAGAGAAGCAAATATGCAATGCGTAGATTAGAGAGTAAAATGTTAAGTAAGGAACAATATTTCATATCACAGCCCCGCCCCAGATAGTTAGCATGCAGCAGAAAACACACTGAAAGCTCTAGATTCCAATACATATTGCCTGACAGGCTTTTTTTTTGTTGTTGTTGTTGTTGTTCTATACTAGGGATAAAGCCCAGGACCTCACACACGCTAGCTAGCACTCTGCTACTGAGCCATACCCCATCCCTTTTCATTTTATTTGGAGATGGGTCTTGCTAAGGTGCCCAAACTGCCCTTGAACTTGTAATCCTCCTGCCTCAGCCTCCTTCATAGCGAGGATTACTGACATGCACCAGCATCCCTGGCCTTTTTTTTTTTTTTTTTAAGAAATAATCTGTTTTAAGAACGGCACTTTCAGTGAATAAATAAAGACACTGGTATAAAGCCCAGACAGTCTAGCATTTTTTCAATAGTTGATCTTTTAATTTGTTTTATTTTTGTAAGAGAAGAAGGAAATTAAAGAAGAAAGAAAGAACAAGGAAAAGAAGGGAGGGAGGAAGAAAATGTGAAGGGTTACTGGATGGGTCAGGATTTTAACGTCTACAAAAAAAATAATCCTTTTTTTTCTGTAAAAGTTATAAATGAATATGCTGCTACCACAGAGAAAGTTCACTAACCCTCGGAGACCTTGCTAGTAACCCAAAGGCCTTCCCAATTACATTCAATGCTGTTTTTACACATAGCAATGTTTGGTGTCTTTCTCTGTCATGGAGACTAGAGTACACTCCATCTCAGTGGTTCCAGTCTCACCAACAATCATCACCTGACTTGTAAAAGTACTTTCTCCAGAGAATAAATGATTCTTCGATGCCACCCTCAAAAAATAATAGGTAATGTCCCAGTACCAAAAGTTAAGATGGTCAATGGAATGGAATTGTCAGGATTTACACTTAATCCACAATATTTGAAAGGACGTTTAATAATCAATCACTGGACCATCAAATGTGAATAAATTCAATATGATGCATGTGTGTACATATGTGTCATAATTTTCCAGTTTTCCTCCTAATGGTAATCCACAGACACAACGCCCAATTCTCCCCTTCTGCAATTGGGCTGAACTACGGGCATAGCGACTGCATCAAAGTCCTTGGGAGTCTATCCCAATTTATAGGGACAACACTGCCATCATTTTGAATTTATTAAATAAAAGGTGGCAGAGATGAAATCTTAGTTTTGATTTTCATTTCTCTAATTGCTAGAGATGTTAAACATTTTTTCATATATTTGTTGATAAACTGTATTTCTTCTGTGAAGTGTCCATTCAGTTCCTTAGCCAAGTTATTGATTGGGTTATTTGTTTTGTTTTTTTTTTTTAATGTACTTATATGACTATACCACCAATGTGATTCTACAAAGAATGAGAAATTCTACTCCTTTTATGGATAATGTGTCAAAGTGCATTCTAGTGTCATGTACAACTAATTAGGATAACCACCCCCCAAAGTGGCAGATATGGAAACCCCTCATGTGAACAGGCCCTTACTCTATGCCTCTACCCACATTAGAGCAGCCAGCCATCCCATGGTATAGGACTCATTTGCCACCTTGGCTCCATACTGAGCAGTCAACTTTCTGAGACTCTGGGGAACACCAGTCAGTTATTTAATCACTTCAACCTCCTTCCCCACCTTCCCACCTCCTCCAGAGAAACATTTAAACATCCAGCTGAATTAACAGTTAAATAAAGTCCAGACAACATAAAAGTAGGGGGCAGGAAAAAGGAGGCAAGTGATTCTTCTCAGCTTTGAGCTGGAATGACATGAAGAGTCCAGGGAAAGCTTTGGCTGCCCCATCCACATCACCAACATGATGTCATTCATCCAAGCAAAGTTATATGCTTGGAAACTGTACAGAGGATTGATAGGAAACTAGGGGGAGTGGGGAGCATAAACATGCAAACCCAAATGTAGACAGAAGCCCTGAACCTGGAACACTGATGTACTTTGTTCCTCACAGGACTAAGGACACAGGAAGAGACAGAGTTTCAGAAGGCAAGACAGACAGCATGCCAGAGTCTCACTGCAGGACTGCAAGGCACCTGGGGTCATAGGAAGAAAGGCATTTCTTCCCACAGACACTCAGAGCTGAAAATAAGACGTCTGGTGGAATGGGCAAGTTGCAGTGGAGGTAATTAAAGTTGAGACAACCCTAGGGAAACAACTACTCCCAAAATGGGCATCTGATAAACATCTTGAAAAGGCAGAGTCAAGACAGCCAGACATTTTCACTCTAAGAGCATGTCCAAGAGAGACTCTGATGCTGCAGGGAGATCCACCTTTTCACATTGTGGGGAGACCCTCACACTCCATTTTCCTCCTTCGTTAACAACTTTACCACTTCCTGTTTATGCTGCTGACTTCGCAGATGACCTAACATTTCCCCCAAGGCATCATGTCAAATATCCTAGCAAGTGAATATCTTACCGAGGCAATCTAACCCCCAGAGCCAGATTCAAATATCAGAGTGAGATTTGCACATCCGTTTGAGGACACCCAGGGGAAAACAAGATGACATGGGAAGATGAGACGAAAACACGGCGTTATAAAATCCCAGAGCAGAAGAAAAACCTCACAGGTCATCTGGTTCAACACTTTATATGATGCTTGAATTTCCTCTACCCCTTCCTTATCTGGTGCATATAAATTTTCATTCCAAGGTTTCCAGAAAAAGGGAGATCCCAAGCCCACGTCCTATCCACAGCAGGATCCGTTTGGGGTTCGGCTAGTTCTACTTGCTAGAAAGTTGCTGTTCTAGATTCTGCACCTCTAGGAAAGCTGAGCAAGGCCCAAAGACTTGGCCTGGAGCCTGAATTGTTGGGTAACTAGTTTGGCTGAGTCATTTGCTTTGGGCAAATTTATTAATTCCTTTGAGCTTCATTTTTTTCTCATCTGTAAAATGGGAATAATAATTTGCTATACCACTATGAGGATATTAACTGTCAATATACAGGATCTGACATAGAATGCACGTTCCAAAAAGAGAGATGCAGAAGAGCAAGGGCAAAATGTGTTCGACTGTTAGAGCCAGACTGCGAGGCTCTGAATCCCACTCCACACGTTATTAGCAAATCATATTAGTGATCCAGTATCAGGACTGGGTGTAGGGATCAGTGGTAGAAGGCTTGCCTAGCCTACTCAGGGGCCTGGGTTCAAATCCCCAGCACAGAAAAATGTGTGTGTGAGTGTGTTTATATATATATCAGAGAAATAGAAAAATTTAATTTCTTTGATCTCTCTTTCTACAATAGAAGATAATAATAGCTAGTCTCGAGAACTTTGCAAAAAATTCATGAGAGGACTGGGATCATAGCTCAGTGGAAGAGCACTTGCCTCACCTGTGAGGCACTGGGTTTGATCTTCAGCACCACATAAAAATAAATAAAATAAAGGCATTGTGTCCATCTTCAACTAAAAATATTTTTTAAAAAAATTAATGGGAGATCACATACACAATACCTAGCACAGTACTGGACCCGTAATCCAGTCTTTAAATTCATTATGTTCTTTCCCTTACTACTTCTTTTTTTTTTTAAAGATAGAGAGAGAGAATTTTATTTTTTTAATATTTATTTTTTAGTTCTCGGCAGACACAACATCTTTGTTGATATGTGGTGCTGAGGATCGAACCCGGGCTGCACGCACTCCAGGCGAGC